TATGTGACGTCTCGAATGATGCTCTTGATCAAATGACAATTATATCCACATCAGCGCACACTAAAGCGGCGCTCGGTAGACACATGGCACAAGGGGGTGAAGCGAAAAACCACGTCAATGATATCAGTCGTGGCTGACGATTAATGACGTATAAACTCACAAATGGCAAAAGTAAATGGACAAAAAAAGCGCGTAGGATGAGGAGAAAATGGCCATGCGATTTATGACGGCAAGTAGATGCCCACATACGCATATAACAAAAGCACACTAGAAACCGCCTCTAGAGTGCTAAGTCGATTAAATCCTCGAGAAGGCGAGAAAGTGGAAATCAAAAGATGTGTTTTTTACATAAACATTTGACAATTTCAACTAGGCAGTAAAAACATTGTCCAGAGCATTGTAAAGTGAAAGGCGTTGATCAGAATGACGTTTGTTCAAATAAAAGGCAATAATGAAACAATACTTGCATGCTGGCTTCGAAGAAGCGGAAAAAAGAGAGGTGATTGAAGACGCAGTTTCAGCACCTACTTCATCTTCACTATCAAAATTTGGTGAAACAACTTCAGATGGCAATGATTCTGTATCAGAGAGCCGCTGACTAAGCAAAGCATATGCGGATTCGAGCTGCTTTAGCATTGTTTCATCTTCGATGGGAACACAATTTGGTCCGCCGGGGTCTTTAAACCAAGTTCCACGCAATATGTCAGTTGGGCCAGTGGGAGCTGACAAAAGAAAGTCAATGATAAAAAATGCACAAAGATCCTTGAAATACAAAAACCTTAAAAACTCACACTCCCAATACACAGGATAGCAGTGATTAGCAACGATATCGACCTCGTAGAGACCTTCTCGAACGAGAAGGGGTTTGAAGGTATCCACAGCACCAACGGACTGCACAGATTCATGAGTTTTCAGAAGATTAAGGTAAGTAAATTCGATGAGGAGCGAGTCATACCCACTAAAAGGAACCCATTTTTTTGAAGTTTCGTCCTTGTAAAACCAACGAACACTAGTGGGTTTGATTGAATGCGGATCATCGTACGAGATATCACCCAACGAAGCACCAGCAAATCGACGCTCAGGAAGGGAGAACGCCCGAATCGCCGAGTTAACCATAACGCGTGTAGAAAGTATAACAGAAAATCACAGAGAGAACGTACGAATAACGCTACGCGCAGCACATCATGAGCAGAACACAGGACCCACCAACATTACAAACCGCATAACTCCCCGAACCAACTGTCTCTCAGTACTTCAAGGCCATGCATTGGGTGCGTTTGAAATAAGTTTCATCAAAAGTGGATTACAAAGTATTGTAGAGAAGAAGCATGAGTCAAAGAAGAGTTCTTAAAAAAAAGAAAAAAATTTAAAATGCTAAAAAATAAATTTGCATTAATTTTTCAAAATTTAGTATTTGTGATAGTGATTATTTTATAAGTCAGTGCACCAAAATCGTTAAAATAAATTCGATTTTCCTGAGAAAACAAAATAAACCTTTGTAACATTTATATATTTAAAAAAACACGTAGCTAAAATTTAGATTTTAAATGCTAAATAAATTACTTTGACATATAATACATTTTTTTATAAACTGTTCATAAATAAAATGTTGTTTAAATTTATCGTTTATCTAACCCTCGGTCTATATGCTCACCTTTAAACTTTTGGCTTCTTGACATGATTGGTTAATGAGATGTTCGAAATTTGCTTATGAGGAACAATAATAAGTCATCGTACTTCTCCGGTATTTTTTCGTTTTCCTGTCACGAGCACTTTATTGCGTTTGTCGATGACCGTGGCAAAACTCTGAAAGTCGAGGTCCGCGACATGCGTAGTGACGAGGAGTGGCGAGGGAGTTTTTCCGCAAACTGTAATTTTTACAAGTGCCTTTATATTGATATAGATATTGAGGAGCTTACAAGAAAAACCGGAAACTTTAAGCGCTTTGATGTCTTCATAACGATGTTGAGCTCTCTTTTGAGCCAAGTGACTTTGTATTTTTTGTAATTTACTCTTTTGTAGCGTACGAAGTGTTTGAGTATCGACTTTGTCAGCTATGCTGATTTAGAAAATTTTCAACAAATTAGTTTGAAGGGAGGTAGTCCGAGAGTTTTTGCTGACAAAGTGAGCTGTCTTAATCGACGTTACCTTATCTTGACTTACAAATCTGATTTCGACCGAACGTTCTATCCCCTACCTCTCACATACTTTGGTGTCGTTGACAAAGAAGCACTTTTTCGAAGAATTCATAAGTTACGTGACACTTGTTTTAATAAAGGCAATTACAAATTGATGGCGGAAAGTTGCAGTCGACCTATTGATGAGAGTGAATACAACCATAGGTATATCGTTTGGGTTGACTAATATTTTTAAGAATCGCGGTTTTAGAGAAGGAGAGAGATAATGCGCTTGCAGAGCTGAATCGTCTTAGATCTGTCCTTCGCATTCTCCATGGTGAAGATGATCATGAAATCTGGGACGTCTCTTTGTCAAGGCCAAAAACTATGAAAATCAAGTCCTCACCAAAGTCTTGTCCACTGGACCGACGGTC